AACCTGTTGTAGAGGAGGAGGAGGAAGAGGATTATGAAGATGAAGACGTTGTCAATGTGGTAGGAGCGACGACAGCGGACGATTATCTTCGTGTGGGGACAGTCGGGTCATCCGAATTTGGCCCGACACAACCGATGTCTAAACGTGGCTCCCTGGATTCCGAAACCAACACCACAAACGGACGTGATCGTTCCTCAGTGTCCATCACGGGCGCAACTGGGACTAGTGATTCCTCCCAGTCTCGCGAGTTTCAAGGAATCGGTGATATCCCAACCGGTACGGATGCCGCATCAAATCATCGAAAGAAACGAAAACGCGCTCCTCGTAAAACTGATGAAGTTGCCGTAGTTGTTGGTTCCAACTCATATGGGCTGACAGAACAGCCGAAATCTGACAATCCACTAGTCTGAATCGTCCAATTTTCATCCGAGGTGACCACTGAAACCATTCCAATTCATTTTTGTTGACCGCGCTCGGTACAATTGATTATGGCCTAGCGCCTTCGCATTGCCTTTCTCTCGCCCTCTCATTTTTCTTTGCCACCCCTATTGATTTAGTCCTTAACCTCTTGACGATTGTTTTTAAGCAGATTACGAAATCCTCATTACAAGTATCAGTACAATAACACTACTATTACGCCAGGTGCTATTCAAACGGGTATGTCATGCGAATTTCTCATCCGTCATTTGCTTCTCTGTGGAATAAACCTCTAGTTTCGCTTGCACTGTTTATTGTGCTCTCAGCGGAGAAGCAGTTCATCCGAATATACCGTTATTTTTCCTTTTTGTTTCCCATCTTTACCTAAACATACTGTGCGTGCTCTATTTATCTTTTCGTGCATCGCGTTGCACTTAGTTCAGACTGAATGTTTATTCGTTCCCACACCTTCCCCATCATTTTCCTTACCTCATTCCGCCCCCTCTCACCTCGCTTGAATTCACCTTTTTCCCATTCTGATTACTTCGTCGTGTCCTTTGTATTCGCGTTTCGTGTATGCGTTGCTTTTTTCGTTATCATACATAGCACGGGCATGTAAAAACTTAGGTGTCTCTTAGTGAGACATCTTGTTGTAAACATTCTTTCGGTTCTAAGTTAATCCCAGGTGATAGAATCATAGAAAAACTGCGTACAGGTATTGTGACATGTGCAAAACCGTTAACATTGGGGCTGACCAGAATTGCATATTGAAGCTTGTTAAAGTATTGTGTTCAGTTGTATTTGACATGGTGGTAGCACACTTGCGTTCTATGTGGATAACCCTCCGTTCCAATCCTCGAATAGAAGGTTGATGTGCACCACCGATGAGCTTTAACATGTGTGAAATTCTAATATCATTTTTTCTGAGTGTGTGGTATACTTGATGAACTGAGGACTGTCGGTTAGGTTGCGGTTTGAAGGATGGTCAGTCCAATTCGAAATTGACTAAGTCTTCGCTAATAAGTGAGTTATCCGCAAGCGCGCTTGTGGAAATTTCCTGACGATTCCGCATGTTTCTACACACGTTCGACAAAAGCGCGTTGGAACATTTCGACGGGGCCATTAAATGCAGGCAGTCATTTGTATTCTGAACCATATCTCTCAGTATTCCTCACAATCGACAATTCTTTGTTCATTCTTTGACCCCAACTGAAACTTACTTCTTCATACCCCTACGTTTCGTGTTGTGGTCGCAGCCTTGTCCAGCACCTGCGAAGAGGACATAAAGATGCAAAAAACAATGGGCGCTAATAAGCGCAAGACGACAGAATCTGTCGGAAGCGGTATACAACGACTTCTTTCAAATAAAAACCATCTGCACAAACCCAATGAAGAACCTCTTCATTGCTCGCCCGATGCCCCGGCCAGGTGCAAGAAATGCTTAGAAGATATCGCTGGATTTGTGCTGAAAGTCATTTTGCTTCATCATTGAGTATACGCCAGGTATCACAACCGTAAAACGAATTATTACGATCCCCGGAGTTGTAAACCTTCCCCTTGAGAGTGCCACTAGCGAAAGCTAGCTTTGACTAATCGTTTTGTGATGCCCCTCATCTCTCCTTTCAGCTGTGCTGAAGCTCCCGAGCTATAAACTTTTAACTATATCTGGCAACACAGTGCTGCTGTGTTCTTTGTCCAAATATCGAGGTGATCATGTTCAGATCTAGCCTTGCTGCTCTGTGGTTGTATGCACCGTGCTCTCGGGGAAGAACAAGCGAAACACAGCGACCAACTCTGAGTTGAACTGCTGCGCGGGCAAACAGTGAAATTGAGTAAAGACCCTCGATGGGATCATGAAGGTACAAGTAAATGGGGTTTCTCTGTAGTGACCAATGATGTGGCACTCGTCACCAGGGAAAGCAAAATCCCTCAATGAGGAATTTCGGAAGCTGAATAGCAAACATCGTAATTTATTCTGCCATGTATATTTTGTAAGCACTGAAGCTTATATTTCATTTAAAAAAAGAACTCTACGTGCCCATCGTCACACATAACATACTTCAAGGGGGAAGCTTTGTTCATGGACAAAATGATAACATTCCATAGTCCAATATTAAGACAAGGTATGGCACATCTGAAATTTGGCAATCGTTTATACGAGAAGACATTTGTCGGGTTGCAGAGTCTGAGAAGGGATGGGAACGACAACGTGATAATGCAGTGGGTGGTAGCGGTCCGCTAGAATTCTCTTTGGAAAGAAGTTGTGATGATTTGGAAGTTTCACAACTACCTCGTTCACAAAAATTGAAANTGAAACCGTGGGGTCAGGCGTTGAAATCTTGTTTTAGTAGGCCAAGGAAAATAACTGGCGAACAATATTGTAAAATGGGGAAGACACACTGATAAAAAATGTAAAAATAACTGACTGGGAAACTGTAAACTTTTAAATTTGAAATACTATGCATCTTTGATTTTCAACAGACTTGTGGATGTGTGTTGACTAACGAAGACTAATATATTCAGTTGCAACAAGATGTTTGTCGGGGTTCATCCTAGTTAAATTATTGCTACTGATCACTGTCGGGATTCAATAGTGTGCGAAACTGTATAAACATTCAACATTTGGTGGGATTTAAACTTAACACCGATTAGGAGGGCTAGATTTGAGAACGATTCTCGGTGAAAGAGCTTCAATCAGAGGAAGAAAGAAGAATGGATTGGCACAATAATGCATCATGTAAATAGTGCAAAAAATGTGCAGGAGAAACAAGGTTTATCACAAGTGGTCTGGGACAGTTCTGAAAGATTCCGGGGTTGTTGAGTAAGGGGTTTAGATGAAACATTTCCAAGTTATTAGTTTATGCTTTATCAGTAAGATAGCCGTATAAACAAGCTGATAATTGCTTTCGGCATCAAGACGATTCCAGCTCCAGCATAGACACAGGAATGAAAGTAAATGCAGGGGAATAGTCAAGAAAAACACCGAAGACAGTTAAACACCTAGTGATACAATCATTACGGGTGAAAACTGTGCACGAAGTGGATTTTTTAGGCTTTCAAGTAAACTGAAACTGAATCATTGAGAATGTATGGACTACTGAAGGTGTCTGAGGATAGCCATTTCAGTCAAATCATGGGCTGATGAAGCCAAGGCTATGGAACGAAGCGTTTGGAGAGGACAAAATAATTGGATATTTTGGGGATCGGTACGATTGCAATCGGTCTCCAACGGTCCAGGATTAGTGTAAGTGCAAGTGATGAATTTAGAATGGAGGTGATTACCCACCTAAGAATCAGCATCAAATTTGAAGAGTGCGAGAGGTAGACCTTCCGGGTCTGTAGCAGAGAACGAATTAAAACTATTTAAACGCTCAACAAAATCACAATTTGAAAACGATTTCACAATAAAGATATTCTGGGCACATGTTAAATTTTAACAGGGCAGCATCAATTATAAATGGCGTTAGTTGTTTGGGTGGATAAGGGGAGACAAGTGAACAGAGACGAGGGAGTTGATGAAAATCATAAGAAGCACGCCCAAGAGATTCTTTGAGAGGAGAAATACATGTGAGTGAAAAGTTACAAAAACAATCTGATGTGGTCAGATCAAGAGTAAGGTTTATTTGTGCAGTGTGAATAAACTTCAAGTTGAACTAGGAGTCAACATTTGTCGCTGGTGGAGATCGATACTGTTCGTTTTGAGCAGAAAATGGGTGGTCGATGAGTACTCTTTCCGGTATAGAGTTACCTTTTGTGAGTGACAGAAATCTATCATATCTAGTGCTAAAAGAGCATATGAGCTAGTTTGGTGAGAGACACCAACGATTATATTTATGCTAGTGTCTAAAAGCGAATGAGGTATAAGAATTATATGGGATTTGAATGTGTACAGGAAGTGGCTATGTGAAAATTGCTTGAGGAAAACGGGGAAATCTTGGTGACATCGCACTGTCAGGCATTCAGTATACTTCGGGCAGAACTGAAACATAACATGGGACTTGCCAAACTAGGAACCGCTGAAAATGTTACTACAACCCCTCCGGTCCCGCGATCCTATCGGCGAACTTGGAAACCGACTATCGACACTAGAGTCTCATCTACATCCTCATTCAGCCATGATTCTTGTACACAAACGACAAGCATTTGAATCAAGTCCTGAATAAAGGACACTTTACAGCCATTAACCGTGCGCCGGTTTTTGTTGCTGTCTTTTGGTGCCCCATTTGAATAAAAGAGCAGAATGAACATTGCAATGTTGAACGCAAATTCAAGCGGAAGGTGGAGAATTCATATAGAACGGTGTTAGAGGAATAATGAGTGGAGGCACGAGCACCACTGTTTGCAACATCCAGCCATATCGCCCAGTGTCTCTAACCAACGGTGACCATCATCCCGAGGTCCCCAGTCAGAGGGCCTAGCGAGGCCTATGTGACCTAGTCTCCTTGTTAGGGTTCTGATACCCTCCTACCAGGTTTTCTTTTGACCACCCTTGACCCTTTCCCAACCGTTACCTGTTTCCGCAAACATCGCTCGCCGTGGCAACCCATTTGGTGGCATGCGTAAAACGCCTCAACCAGCGAAATCCATGGAGGTAGATGTCTTGCTCCAGTGGACGACTACCTAAAACTCTGCGTCTACTCTCAGCATTGTCCCTCCGGTTACCCCCACCGGACTCGTGCAACGTGGCGGCGGTGTATGTATTTTGATTATGTTCCCGTAGTGGCCAAGTCTCTGCACCGAAGAGCAGGACTGGCCGAACTGTTACACCATACACTCGACACTTCACTATAACTAACTCCTGGCCATTTAGTTTCAGAGCGGGAGTAAGCGATACACATTCTTGCAGTATTACTTTGCACTTTGAACGTGCAAAGCACGTACCGAATGTGGCAACAGCACTTGTTAGTGTATCAACTGCGCTTTGTGCGTCCTCCAAACATTCGATCAGACACAATGTCATCAGCGTACTGCAAATCACAGTTTTTCTCTAACT